GATCGCACAAGGCGAACCTCCCAGCACATTTGTTCATGGCGGCGGGGGCAGCAGCAGCGGGTCTTCTTCTTACGGCGGTAGTCAAGTAGGCGCTTCGAACTTTCAGGAGTGGTGGACCTCATTAAATCCATACAAGAATGTTGGCGCTGAAAGGGCAAAGGGAACTGGATACTATGAGCTTGATCACTACCTAACGTCGAATTTGATACTTACGATTGCTCGTGAACCAAGTCCGCCACTAAATTTCGATGTCTTGGATTGGTGGTCGAGAATGCAAGACATATATTCTATTCCTTGCTTGATGGCCAAAGATATTTTCGCCGTCCCAGCATCTACAGTTGCGGTCGAACAAGCCTTCAGCGAGGGAGGTTATATGCTCGACGCATGACGATCGAGGCTGACGCCCGAAAATCTACAAGCACAAATGCTGCTGATGGATTGGAAAAAGGTCGAACGAAGGATGCAAACGGCTATGTACGTAGATGAAGAAGCAGACGACGACGATGATGCATCCGATTTTATGAGTACGACGAGTGGTGGAACCAGAATAGGAGATGACGAGTATGACTATTAGAGACAACCACTTGTGTACAGGTAAGTAAATCGAAAGAACTACGTGGACTTTGATTCTCAATATAAGGGATACGTAGGCAACTTAATTGACATTTATAAGTTAAAATATCATTTTTTTTCCAAAACAAAAAAAAAGTCAAGTTATATGATATTTAAACTTAATAAATGTCAATTAAGCTCAAGTCCAATTTTCTATAAACGTAACAAGAATTAATTTGCCTCTAGAAAAAAATGTTCAGAAATTCAGGCAATAATATCAATTATTCCAATAATGCCCCGCCCACAATCTCCATTGTTGTATTGTAGACGTATTAGAGAGTGCGACGCAGGTTCCACAACGGAGATTGTGTGCGTGGCATTATTGGCGTAATTGATGTTATTGCTTTGATCATTATTTGGTCAATTTTTGGAATTTCTTGAGCTGTAAGAAAATTAAAAAAAAAATACTTGGACTTTTTTACAAGTCAAAATATCAATTAAAATAAGTTAAATTACATCAATAGAAGGATGTTCTATAATGAAGACAATCGCAGTATCTTAACTTAACAAGAATTAATTTGCCTCTAGAAAACATTGTTCAGAAATTCAGGCAATAATATCAATTATTCCAATAATGCCCCGCCCACAATCTCCATTGTTGTATTGTAGACGTATTACGGTATTAGAGAGTGCGACGCAGGTTCCACAACGGAGATTGTGTGCGTGGCATTATTGGCGTAATTGATGTTATTGCTTTGATCATTATTTGGTCAATTTTTGGAATTTCTTGAGCTGTAAATAAATTAAAAAAAAAATACTTGGACTTTTTTACAAGTCAAAATATCAATTAAAATAAGTTAAATTACATCAATAGAAGGATGTTCTATAATGAAGACAATCGCAGTATCTTAACTTAATAAGAATTAATTTGCCTCTAGAAAACATTGTTTAGAAATTCAGGCAATAATATCAATTATTCCAATTTTGCCCCGCCCACAATCTCCGTTGTTGTATTGTAGACGTATTAGAGAGTGCGACGCCAGTTCCACAACGGAGATTGTGTGCGTGGAATCATTGGCGTAATTGATGTTATATGCTTTGATCATTATTTGGTCAATTCTTTGAATTTCTTGAGCTGGAAGTAAATTAACAAAAAGTACTTGGACTTTTTGACACACAACTAATACGTAGGCACCTTAATCCTTAGGTTAAAATATCAATTAAAATAAGTTAAATTACATCAGTAGAAGGATGTTCTATAACGGAGACAATCGCAGTTGGCGTCGTTTACAGGGTTCTTAACGTTTAACAATCTTCCAACACTGCAAGGAAGCTGTAGTCTTTTTTTCACACACCACTAAAAATATTGGATTATTTGATACAATAATCCAATATTTTTAGTGTGTGTGGAAAAGACTGTAACTTTCTTGTAGTGTTGAATGATTGTTGAACATTTAAGAACCCCGTAAACGGCGCCAACTGCGATTGTCTCCGTTATAAAATAATGTAAAATAATAGAACGTTTATACATACTTAGTTATCTTTTGAATTCTTAATTAACGTCGAGGAGAGGAATGCAAAATAATGTAATGATAAAGTTGCAGTTGAGTCATCAACATTTAACATTAGTCTGATAGCATTATCCAACAGTACAAGTGATGCGTGAAAAGGTATGTACCCTTATGGAATTGTGGGATAATAGTATCAACATCTTGTACGCCAACGATGATAACTTGGACAGCTTCCGTTAAGTAACATGCTTGAGGCCATTAACAAAAAGAACGAATATATTACTCGAGACTGTGTATTGGAGTCGGATTGCATGATGACATTGATGAAAATCAAGATATTGTTTAACATAGTAAAATTGAATTTCGCAAGTCCTACAAAATAACACTATACCGGCGGAACCGCCGATCAATCAAAAACGGTAATACATCTCAACGAACCGCCGGAACCGGCCCGAACCTGCGGAAAACCGGCGGGTCCGGGCTCAGAACCGGTCTCGGACCGCCCCCTTTTCCGGTCCGAGACCGGGTCTCGTCCAAGCGGACCGTCGACCCAGCGGGCCGGGCTGGGCCAGACCGGTCCCGGACGTTGAATGGCCACGTCTAAGTGGGGGGATGAAATAATGTGTCTCCCCTAAATGACCCAACTAGGCCAACACAACAACTAACACAAGTACCAAAACTACACGGACTGAACAAACACCCACGCCTTAAAATGTCTAAGCAGAACAAAAATATCCTCCAGAATTACAACAAAAACAGAAGAAAAAACCACTAATCTATTAAGCATAAGAGCCACTCCTTTGTTCTTCACAGCTATCCTTACCTCCTGCCATCTCTAGTTGACTCCATATTCCAGCCAGTCTTAAATTTGTAAGAGTTCTTCTTCCACTAAGTGATTTACCTCACCCTAGTCACAGTCCATCTTGCAACTTCGGATTTATCAATATTAAAAGTCTGCCCTTTGAACCCATCCTCTGACAATGATGAAGCATTAACTCTGGTTTCACTGTCATGTCCCTTTACTCCTTGCTTCACCATTAAAGAATGCACCACTGCCTCATCCTCTTTCTCATGGTGATCTTGACAATCCATTGTATGAATCCCCTCAAACTCCACCATCTTAGCTGCATCCACCAGTCTCTTTGCTAACATGTGCACCTGCCTAAATATCTAATTATTTCGTGTCTTCCACAACCACCACATTATATATGTAGACAAAGATATTTTGTGCCTCCCTTTATCTTTCCTTTTTACTTTTCACCTCCTCCCACCATTCCTAGAATGTAGTCCTTTGGCACTGCAACTTCTCCCATAAGATCCCAGCTAACTTCCAGGTCCTTTGAGCCCTCTTACATCTAAACAATATATGTTCCACATTCTCCTCTGCCTCCCACACCAACAACATGTTACATCAGAGTCCCCTCCCCTTCTAGCCATATTAACTTTGGTAGCCAAACAGTTGTGCCAACACCTCCACAGAAAAGTCTCCACCTTGTGCTTGATAGGCAATTTCCAGGTTTTTGCCCACATTGATGCTTTTTTCTGCTTGCCTTCACTAGATTCAGCCTGCATACTCTCTGGTTGTTTGCTTCTCTAAATGGTATGATAAACTTCCTTGACATTGAGTATTCCTTTCTTACTTGAGTGCCAGATTAACTTGTCTTTAATCCCACATTGACTGATGGGAATCTTCAAAATGTTTGCAGCATCAGTGGGATTAAATGTCTGAAAGATAAGCTCCTTGTCCCATATCTTGCCCCCAGTTTCCATCAGATCATGCACTGTTACAAGATTTTCTTTATCCCCAAGAAATTGACATACAAGCCTGAACTTAGATGAATCTGGAATATCCATGGAGAATTCCATAGGTCAATAGAACACCCATCACCTACCTGGAATCTAAGTCCTAAGTTCAAAGACACTCTAGCCCTTAACCAAGACTTCCATAGCCAAGAGTCACTGTTTTTTTTTATACCTCAAGAAAATTCTATTTATACATATATCTGCCCCTCATCACTCTAGACTACTCATCAAAAGACAAAAGGTTAGGCTTAGTTAAAACCCTCCAAATATGCTTTATGATTAAAGCCTCATTCAGGTCTCCTACCTCCCTAAAACCCAACCCCCATCCAGTTTAGATCTTGCTAGCTTTCCCCAACTAACCCAATGAACTCTTCTACTATCATCCTCCTTTGAACCCCACCAAAAATTTGCCACTGCCATACATATCTCCTTACATAACCCAACTGGTAACTAAACACTTACATAACATAAATGGACAGAGCATTTAAAACAGTTTTAATCAAAATTGCCCTCCCAGCCTCGCCCAAGAACTTGTTTTCTAACTTTTTATCCTAGACTCCACACACTCTTTAACAAAAGTAAAAGTCTTTCTCTTTGATCTGCCTATACCTAGTGGAAGCCCCAAGTATTTGGAGGATTTGGCAATAGCTCCATTAAACATATTACAAATCTCAGACGTATGCTCAGAGGTATTCTTAGAGAAAAAAAAAAAAATACTAGACTTGTATCTTTTGGCCTGCCCAACTTCTTGGGTCTTATTTCATTCATGTGGGTATCTTTTGGAACTTAGCTCTAATACCAATATTAAAATGAAAAATGTTACATTACCAACCTATTGTACAACTAGGTTGACAACGCAAGTGAAAACATCCACTTGTGTATTTTTTTATTTTTATTTTTTTGAATGTTTTCACTTGTGTTGTCAACCTAGTTGTATACTAGGTTGAAAATGTAACATTACTCTATTAAAATATATGTCTCTATTTGGAAATTATATTGCTTTTGGGCCCAAATAATAAAAAAATAAAAAAAATGAAGATATGTTGTACTCGTAAGCAACTTTACATATAACGGAGGTGGAACTTTAGCATACAATTAATTCTACAATTGGATATTGGATATTCTGTTTGAATAATGATACATGCTATTCCGGTTAAATGTCACAGTTCTCGAAATAATGTGGATTGATTATATAAATGGAACATTTTATCCGTGCACGCAATTCTTGTTTACAAGAAAAAAAAATGTGCATTTGAATTGTCTCAATCTTACACTTTTCAGCAGCCAGTAGTTGGGCTGATCATGAAAGTCCATTCCTTTGAACAAGAATTTTGAATTGATAAACTACTAATACTAACACTTGTGTCTTTACATGTGTGCTTGTTCAAAAATTATTCTTAAAATTTAAAATTAATGAGAAAAATTATTTTAGATTAATTTACTTTTTTATAAAAAATATATACTATTATATATTTTAGAATGATATTTGTTACTTGTGCGACTTACATGTGTTATATTATATTACTTTTTATAAATTATAATATAACTACTTGAAATATAAATATATTAATTGATAAATAATTTTATTTTTCTAAAAATTAATATTAAAAGTAATTTTATTATTGTTATAAAGATAAATATAATTAATTTTTTATACAATATGAATGTTAAATCAAAGCTCATCAAAAGATAATTAATTTGATAAATTATATATGTAAAATTGATAAAAAAATACAAAAGTTATTAACTTTTAAAATACATTTACAATTCAATGGTTATATAGTAAGAAATGATATTAAAATGCAACTAATATATGTAACATGACCATAAATAATCAACATATTTATGGATAATCCGAACCTAATTATTTTTGGATTGTAAGTAAATTAAAATCTACCAAACATGTAATTTTGTACATAGGATCTCAAAGCATGCGAGTCTGCCACTTAGACTCGGCAAGTTTTGAATTAATATATAAAGGGCAATTTTATGTGTTAAAAGCAGCCTGGCGATGAGTATAATGATTTATATAACTCGCAGTAGTTGAAGAATACGATTCAAATATAAATTGATGTGTTTAGAATATTCCATCAGATCATCTTGTCAAGCACACTAACTAAAGGGCGATTTCTAAACCGTCAAATTGATCAAAATTAACCATGAGTTAAAATGAGTTATTTTGAATAAAGTTGATTGAGTGAAATGAGAGAGATTGTAATTAAATAATATTTAAAATATAATGATTAAAATTGATTTAATGTAAAAATAAGAGAGAGACGATGAAAGTGATATGTAGTTAAAAATGAGTAAATTTCATTACAAGGCCTGTCTTTTTGAAATTATATCAATTTAAAGCCTGAATTTTATTCTTTCAGTAGAAGGTTTAAACTTTAATTATTTCTCAATTTAAGACTCGTTTTTTTATTTAGCTTCTAAATGTAAGACCCAACTAAATTTACTTTTTAACTTAAATATGTGAATCATAATATTATCTTTTATAATCTATATTTTACATATTTATGTACAATTAACTTGATGAAGAAATTAATCAATATACGTTATATTTATTCAAAAGGTTAATAAATTTTATTTCAAAAAATTAATTAGAGAAATTTAAAATACATCATTTAGTATTATTTTGATTAATAATATACGTAATAAATTAAGAAATAAATCAAAATATGTAATAAAAATAAAAAATTTAAAAGTGAAGTCATAAAATAGAAAATTGAATTTTTTATTTAAATATTATTTCTTACTTTTATTACATATTTTGAATATTAATAAAAATAATACTTCAGGTATATTGTTGATGTACGAAAATGTCAACAACAATAATATGAACCGTACACTAAGTTATGTACTCTGTTCGATCTGCATGAATAGAGTTGTTTTGATAGTTTGGACCAAAGGGGTATAATTTAAGAAAGGAATATTCTCTTACATTAAATGTTGCATCTCCTTCATTTTATAGAAAAATTGAGGTCTTGTTCTAATCCACTTTGGGGATTTTTTATTTACATTTTTATTTAAGAGATATTCCTAAGATAATATGACAAATCAACATTAAATGCCTTGTACTTTGTTTATCTTAATCCCACGATTGGTGACGTTCCCAGCTCGTGACACGTGTTCCTGCGGATTCCACACCATAGGATCGCAAATCCCCGCGTCTCGTCACCATTAATAAGTGTAGTACGGATAATCTGAGGAAATGATTAGCTCCAACCGGATATCCACTTGTGAACATTTGTTCGAACTGACTAAGGCGACTTGTGTTCGTCCCTCGTGTTCGGTTCGCTCCTGGCTCTGCATCCCTGATGTGTTCGAATCTGGATAGACCTTCCCATTTAATTCGAATTCTGTTGTTCGGTCAATACCTATACAGAAGCCCCCAGATTCGGGCGATGCGGACATAATCGATCTCGGACGTTGTTGTAGCAAAATATATTTTTACCGAGTACCGAATCGAAAGATTCGTTCCCCAGGTCGATCTCTCGAGGAAGGCGGTTCGGAATCTAGAAATAGTGTTGATAACACATAAAAGAAAAATAAATCCTAAACACTCTAATCAAGATAGTGGTTTTTAATTATAAACTACGAAGGAAAACTCAAACAATGCAAAATTGGACTAGAAAGCAAAGACTAAGATCATTCGGTTAAATGATTCGAACAACGTAACGTCTAGAGGTAGTCCTCAATAACTCTTCGTAACAAGAGGGTAACATAGATGGTAAATCACACAAATCACTGAACACATAGACAATACGTTTTCGAACAAGTCTATTTCATGCGAACCTAGATCGATCAACTCCTTCCCTTTCGGTTCTAAGAGTTTGATTAATTATCCTAGATGATTGTTAATCTACTAGTTCGTTGGATTTGAACACATCACAAAAGAACGAATCATATTCAATTGGAAATCAATTGCTAATCGAAGTGTCACTCTTCGATAATATTCAACATTCAATGTACGACAATTATAAACCCAAGTTAAGAACAACTCGCATAAATTGAACGATCAACAAGCATGATAATCATAATTAAATTCTAAACATCATCATCATCCCCTATCCCTAGCGAACGAATTAGTTACTCATATGGAATTCAACACAATTCATCTCAAGAACCCAAGCATTCATATTCAAGGATTAATTGAAAAGGAAAACTTACGATTAATAGAGAACCAAGAGTTGAATCCAATGAACAATCCAAATCCAAAACAAGAGAAGAAGCTTTTGAATCTCCAAATCGAATCCAAAGTGAGAAAACTAAGAGAGGAATATGTTTTCTAGAGAGAAAAACATAAAAATAAGTCTAGAGTCGAATAATGAGCCCTAGGTCCAAAATCTGCTATAAAATCCCGCTTCTCGATTTTCGCGCCGCTAAGTCGCGAGTCGCGACTTTCACTTTTCTCAGGTCGCGAGTCGCGAGTCGCGAGTCGTCAAGATCTTCAATTTCTGGGGTTTGGTCGCGACCTCACTCGCACGTCACGACTTATTCTCGCGAGTCGCGATTGCATGTCGCGAGTCGCAACTCGTGCTCGCGTACTTTCATCTCGCGAGTCGCGACTTTGGACTGCACTGCGTAATTTTACGTTTCGGGCTTGTTTGGGCTCGTCCGAACTCAGAATTGAGTTCTGTTTTTTGCTATGCGTCGCCAACGAATTCCTCTATGAAACTATGTGCTCGAAACAAACTTTTGCTGAAGAAAAATTCGCCCAAAGCTCCCGTCCTACACACCAAAAACGACAAAACACAAAGAAAACCGGGAAAACAAACAAAAAGCACCTAAAGATTCAAAATCAAGAAAACAACATAATAAAATACGAAACAGACTAAAAAATAAAGAAACGACCTAAAACGGGAGAAAAAGAAAGATAAAATAAGCACGAAAAACTAAAGTCGATTTGACTTTGGCCAGTCGACAATGATTGCTCAAGTGACATGTCTCGATTTAACAGGTTTCAAGGTATTTATGGTGTATATGGAACGCTACAACTTCTGTTGGTATTTAAAAATATTAACCGTTACACCTCTTCAAAGCTCAATTTGAAGCCTATAAATACCAGGTTCATCATTTTGAAAAGCCTTTCTCACTCTCGCATACAATATTCTCAAGAATTCCCTGCACTCTCAAGCACGTACAGCGCTCCTTCCTTCTAGCCTCTAAGATTTCGGTAAGACCGTTTTTCTTGTTCTTCTACTTCAAAATTATTTCTCTTATCCGAGCATGTCGCTTTCGTTGGAGAATTACAACGAGAAGCAGTACGAAGAAGCTCTGCAAGGGGACACAGCCGACCGATAGAGACTCCCTCTACCCAAAGAGAGTCAAGGCCAAGATTTGCAGATCAAGCAGTCAGTGGTGGAGGTTCCGGCTGGGTTTTGGTGCAGGCCGTATCGCTGAGTGGCCAACCCTGACTATCTTTGGACTAGGGCAACTTCCGAGCGACATGACCGAAGACAAGGTCGTCAAGTTACGGACCTCCATCCGATTGCCGAAAGAGAATATTGCATGAGTTTGTCCACTTGTATTATTTTAATCATTCGTTTTGAGTGATGTGATATTTGTGCCTATTTTTGTTTTGTTAGACGAATGAATAAATATTTATCTTGTTTACGCTTTGAGTAATGTGATATTTTTACGAATGTATGCCTGGTGTTTTATGTTTTGTCTGAACATTGTGAAATTTTGTCTAAACGTTTCCTTTGGACGAGTAGCTACTAATTGAGTCGTGCACTTATGGAGCCTTTCCATTTCCACTGAACAACTTATTACTGTTCGAGACTTACCCCGGTTGAGTATTTTGACCGAATAACTTATCGCTATCCGGTCCTTATTCTTTGGCGCATCATTCCCGTTTTGAACAAATCTATAGTTGTTCGAAATTTTGCCCTTATAGAGTTATTTTTATTTTTAATCGAACCAACTATGGTTGTTTTAAATTTTACCCTTATAGTGTTATTTTTATTTTTCATCGAACAAACTATGGATGTTCTGAATTTTACCCTTATAGGGCCATTTTTATTTTTCATTGAAGAAATTGTGGTTGTTTGAAATTTTACCCTTATTGGGTCACTTTTTTTTTTTTCATTTGAAAATGTGAACATTCCACCACACTTTTATTGATAATATTTCTCAAAAACACGGCATTCCACGGATACATCATAGGGGTTCCGTCTAGATAATTCATCCTATAGGCCCCATTCCTTAGGACGACGACTACTAAGTACGACCCTCCCATTTCGGTTTCAAAGGGCCCGGATCCGGTCCGGTCACTCGCTTCAACACGAGGTCCCCGGGTCGATAAAGTCGAGATTTCACTCGTGTGTTAAAGTATCTCTCTGTCACGCGTTTGTACGCTGCATTTTTTAATTTGACATGGGATCGTAACTCTTCGATTAAATCCAGATTTGTTCTCATCCCTTCTGAGTTTGCTTCTTCTTTGAAACTCTCCACCCGATAGGTCTTAGAGCCAATTTCGACCGAGACCATTGCCTCTGATCCGTACGCTAGTGAGAACGGCGTCTCTATGGTTGTTGACGTGGACGTGGTCCGTATGACCATAATACGCTAGGTAATTCCTCCAGCTAGGCCCCCTTTGAATTTTCTAGCCGCACCTTCAGCCCTTGTTTGATAATCTTATTTACGACCTCCACTTGCCCGTTCGACTGAGACTGATAGGGGGTGGAAAAGTGGTGTCGAATACCCATCTCTTCGCAAAGCGCATCGAATTTCTTTCATTCGAACTATCGTCCGTTGTCAGTTACCACTGAATGGGGTATACCAAATCGGCAAACGATTGACTTTCATAGAAAATCGATCATTTTCTGTTCGGTGATGGTCGCTAGGGCTCTCTCTCCGCCAATTTGGTGAAATAATCGACCGCCACAACCGCGTATTTAACTCCTCCTTTTCTGGTTGGGAGCGGGCCGATCAAGTCTATCCCCCATTTCGTAAATGACCACGGGCTGAAAACTGATGTTTTAGAAAAAATTAAACCAGTCGTTAAATAAAATTTGTATTGTGGCAAGATTTATTATTGAAGTCTATAAATAAACACTATAAGATGTTAAAATAAATTAAAATATATTATACAGACTCCAATGTTCCCATAATAATAATAATAATAATAAAATCTACCAAAATATATAACCCAATAAACAGTATATTTTTTTTTTTTCTAAAGTGCACATGCCAAGATAATCTTTTCAAATATCCACTTATGCTAGAGATTTATTTATTTTTTATTTCAATTTCATTGCAACAAAAGTTATTATTTCCACACATGACAAGTAGTTATCTCATAATATCTCTCCCCAATCAAAGCACACAAATAATTAATTGAATACATACCTTTTACAAATGGTATCTTTATATGTGATAAATATAAAAAATAAAATTAAATAAAGATATATCTTCAAAGGTTTATTTCTTCCTAATCTCCCCAACCACAACCATCACCGCCTCCTCATCCTTCTCTCCTCTATTAGCAAAATCGGCATCCGCCAACAACCATTCGATTCAAAACATGGCCACGCCCCTCATACTTTCTTGGGTGTTAGTATCTATTACTATATAATAGAGAGAAGAAAAAATGTTTGAAAAATTATTTCATTTTACCGCTCAAATCATTTTTTCCCTCCTAAAATTTTGTTTGAAATTTTTTTGAACATTTAAAATTTTTTCATTCTGAAATTCAGTATGTTTTGGATGAGTTCAGTATATTTTGGATGAGATTCCTTCCATATCGGATAAATTCAAGTTCCTTTTGATTAGGGAAAATAGATTTTTATTTTAGCAGTATATTTGACTTTTTTTTTTCAACCGATTATGTTTATCTTTTGTTTAAAATTGAAAAAAAAAAATTGTTTAAAGGAAATATTACAAACAGATTTTTTGGGTACATTCCATTTTATCAAATTTGTTTGGATTTATATTTTTATTTATTAATATTTTGAAAGAGAAACAATAAATGTTTATCATAGTTTTTATTTAAAAAATAAATTTGAATTATCATACCTTATACTTTATATGAAATTCAAAATTACATATTTTAATATATTAATAAACGTTTATTATTTATTTTTTCATTATGTGATATAATCGAAATTCGATATTAAAATTTTAAATTCAAACATTTAAAGAAAAAGATCCTAAGCAGATTTTTTGGGTACATTTCATTTTGTCTTAACTTCCATATAATCACATTTTAACAAATTAATTAATACAATTACAATTATATAACTGGAATTTTTAAAATATAATTAATGTAATATTTTAACTAATTAATCTTTTGTCTAACCGAATTTATCTTATTAACAAACTTGCCAAAATTATTGAAATTAAAATAGTAAGATTATTATTATGGGTATACTTACCAGAATATTAAAGACTTTAAAAACGTTTTAAAAACAAATTTGAATTATTCCGTCTTCTACTCTATTTGAAATTCAAAATTAAATTTTTAAACATATTCATAAATATTATTATTTATTTTTTCTTATGTGATATAATGTAAATTTAGTTATATAATTTTAAATTCAAACATTTAAAGGAAAAGACCACGAACAGATTTTTTGGTTACATTTCATTTTATCTTAAATTCTATATAATCACAATCCTAACAAACTAATTAGCATAATATTTTTTTACCCACATTTATATAATCGGATTTCTTAAAATATAATTAATATAATAGTTTAACTATTTAATCATTTGTATAACTTGATTTAACTCATTAACAAACTTGCCAAATTTATTTGAAATAAAAAAATGGATGATTTTTATTTGTAAAATAATAAAAAAATAGTTTTATTTTAAAATCTGAATTATTTCCATTATTTTTTGTACGTTAACAATCATATAGATTTGATAATATTCCTTAAATAAAAAATATTGTATAAAGAGAAGTGTTTAATAATATTTATTTTTTATTTTTTGCATTTATTTTAATTTCATAATAGACGAGATGTGAAAAATATAAATAATTATATTCAAAATAAAGTCTAAAAAAAAGTTTAAAATATGAGTTCCTCCGTGCATCGCACGGGATATACACTAGTTTTGTTTCAATACAGAATAGANGTATTCATAAACCACAAATAAGCATATCTTAAAATCACGATACTAAATAAAAATTCTTTGTATCCATCTACCATCCATAAATGCTATATAATAAAAAATCCAAACGTCGTTAACGACAAAAATAAGTAGTAATAAGCAGATTATTAACTAAATGCATCCATTATCCGACTAATAAAAAAGACATTAATCTGAATCAACTTTTGAAGCCTCAAATTCGATATCTTGGTCTCCTCATCGGTGCTCTGTTGATTTTCCCCTCTTCTGGCACTGGGCGAGCTTCGTCTGCTGCGATTTTCTCGACAGTTCTCGAGGGTTCTTCTGATGGGGTTTTGTTTTCACGATTTTCTCGACAGTTCTCGAGGGTTCTTCTGATGGGGTTTTGTTTTCGATTATATCCATCCTGAAAGGTATTTTGATTAGGATTTTCTTTGATCTCGCGATCCCGTCCTCGTTGGGTTCCTTAGCTTTCTATTTGGTGTCGAATTTCTGAATACCTCGCTCGCGGTTTGTCGGTGGAACCTTCAAGTTGAACCTTAGGTGCTTAGAAGAATCGGCTCTATCCTTGCTGGAGGACCTCGATTCGGGAGCAAGGTCGTGCCTCCGGAGGTGGAGTAGCAGATCGAGGGCTATCGGAGCCCTCCGAGCCCTCTCGCCGACTGACTGCCGCCTGAGGTAGTCGTTGAGGACAGGGAACTCTGACAGCGAAGGAAGCGGCGACGAGAGAGGGGACTGGTAGTGCGGCGGCGTCGCCGAGACGTATTCTCGCAGCGACGATTGGCGGATGGGGGATGGGAGGATGGCGTTGTCGGCCTCCGAGAGAGGGATTTGATCGAGCGACGACACTGGTGGTGGCGGTTGCCATGTTTGGAGCGCCATGTTTGTGTGCAAAGGAAAAACTAATTTTCAAATCCTTAATTATTTGAGGCATCCTTTTGCAGATGCCCCACTAAGATAATTTAAGCATTTTACCATATTTAAAACACGTTTTGACTTGGTAAGACTATACCTTCATACATGGCAATTGTAAAGTAACAATGTTGCTTATAAATGTACCCAAAAAAATTAGGGTAACATTTTTTATCAAAAAGTAAAATGTATGTGGCGAGGAGGGTAATTTTCCCTTTATTTTTATGTATGCTCAAACGGTAGATCAAGATGTAGTGAATGGAAAACAGAGGAGTAAATATGATGAGAAGAAGATTAAAGGGAACAAGATTAGGCATCTCACTAGTTGGTGCTCAAGAACGTTATTATCAAATAAAAGTTCCAAAATGAAATACAATGAAAAGAAAAGCGTGCATTTACCTTAATCAAATCTAATGTAAAGTAAATATGGTCTCAGCCAATCCACATATCAATCAACTACACACCAGAAAAAAATTTTTACCATCATATTTGAGAAATTAAAATTCTGTGTCCTCCCTTTACTCTGAAGCCTCGTGTGGACTAACGGACGAGTAGTAATGAGACTCTGCAACCTCCTCCCCAATTCTCGACAATTTCCGATTTGTACTTTCAGCAAAATTACGGTCTACATGGTCATCCAGAGATGCAAATCCTGGGAAAATTGCAATCTGCTTCAACTCCGACACCAATTTGAGCAGCGAGTCAGCAGCTTGAACCTGATATTTGTGGGTTCAAATACCAATTTAAACACAAAACCAGCATTAAATACAAAATAAAATAGAATCAAGAATTTTCTTTTCTTTCTTGCCGTACTAATTTCCAGATAAGTTGGCACACATTGGTTATCAACATTAATCAAATTCAAAGATAGGCTTGGATATGAGTTGCCTCATAACTTGACAAACCGTCTTCTTGTCTCTTCAAATCTGCTAAGAAAATAAAAATAAGAATGAAAACTAAATAAATTGTGATTGATAATATGGGGTTTCAAACAATTACTTCAATATGGATATTCATCACTCTAAAATCGTGATTATGAATAAAACTTTGGAAGGGATCTCAAATGAATTATAACACTAGGAAAGAGACGATTATGAGCAAATAGTTACTTTAGAAAATTAGTACGTAAACAGTCTTTTCATAACACATAAATATATCGTATTGTTATACTTTTATTTGTCTAAAAATTATTCATAGGTATAATAAAACTGGCAGTTTATAGGGCATGGGTTTATTAGTTGAAGCATTTACTCTACTACTACTACTACTACTACTACTACGTTTTCAACTCGACTCGTCTTGTTTGTTTTGTTTGTGTGAAGATACATAAAGGGAATGCGCTTTTGTATAAAACCTTCAAACTGCTGCAACCTAAATGTAATCAACAAGATTGAAAAGCGGTGCTTTTTCTAAGTTACTACAACAAATAACCGATGTATTGGCACGAACATTTTGTCCGAAACAAACCACGTTTCCAAGTTTAGGATAAAAGGCGTCTGGCTAGCAGAGAGAGTTGAGTCTTCATAATCATAGGCCCCCTCAAAATCAAACTCAGTGTATTACCTCAATTAAAGTGTTTCACAATTCAAAGTTCAAACAGCAGTGTACAAATTAATCAAACATTCACTGTTAAAGTACAAATTTTAAAATTCGTAGGAGGGATAAATGCAAACCTTCTTTTTCTGAGGTTTGAGGGCTTCTCTGGTTCCGGCGGGATTGGGTAGCGAAACGAGATTTGTCCGTTGACAAAGGATAAGGTTAACGGGTGGGTAGTGCGGCTTTCTGCTTTTTCTCTCTCGTATGCCATCAGGGTAGATCCAGGTCCGAGATTGAGAATAGCAATTGAGAATAGGGCTGCACCATCTTCAGATTTGGATCCACCGATTTGTAAAACCAAAAATAGGAAAAGAACAAGAACGATACAAATTTGGTGAAAAAAAAAAATTGCAGAAAAACCCCGAAGGAAGAATGATCGATTTGGAAAAAAAAATTTGGACCATTTCTCGATTTATGCGTGTCATCCTTGCGCAGGGGCCATGCTAATCTTCTCTGTATCGTTCCAATTTTATCAGATGTCCCCGAAGGGACGAACGACAGGTTGAAGCCAACATTATATAAAGCAATGAGATTGTGCTTCCATTACCGATGTGGGGGAAAAAATATGAGAGTTTTTGTGATGGAGAATTTTATTTGGGCCGTTGCTTTACCTATCGTTGCAAGAGTTTTATTTGGGCCGTTTTGTGAGCTCCTTTCCCAATCGGCCCAATATAAGGAGTCTCTCTCTTTCTTCCTTCTCAGAATTTAATTTATTACTAGTTTTATTAGGACATTTTAGCAATATTTTTCTTTGCGTTACCGGTAAATTCTTTTCATTTAGGTTTAACTAGTGTGGTCACGGATGCTCGAATTTAATATAATTAAACAAAATGTAATATAATATTAAAAAAAGGTATAAAATAGTTACACATATACTATTTAATTTAATTTTTTGATATATAAGTTAATTTTATTTTGTAGAGATTTTGTTTAGATCGGTTGACCAAAAAATTCTTCATAAAATTTATTGTTGCTTTTAAAATTATTCTATTTACAACTTTTCTTTTACGTTTTCATATATATGATATGATTGAATATGCGACACACACATACACACCGTTCATGGAATATCATAATTTTCAATTGCTTAATAATTTAATTTACCTATTTTTCTCCAAACAATATCTTAAAAATATTTTTATTTTTTTTTATCAATTGATTACTACTTTAACCGACACGCGATTTTAATGACGAATTAATATCTTACATTTAACCAATCCATCAAATTTTATTAATGTTTTTGTTTTATCACTATTTCTATATGTGCCTAATAAGCGTTTAATGGAGATTTAATTTCATATGATATTGAGTTAAAGTATGATATTATCAAAATTGGAACAATATTTTATTTAATATTTTTTTTCATATAATATAGAGTTAGAGTATAATATTATCAAAACTGAAACAATATTTTAGTTATTCAGTTAATTGATAAACTCATCACTTAGAAAGTGTACACCAACCTTTAATTAGCGAGACCCGGATTTAGAACATATAAATCAACCTTTAATAAACCAATATCTAAAATTAATATATACTCGTACGACACCCGTGTACTACACGGGGATTTGAAAAAATATATATTTTTGTAATAAAAGTGAATCTATAAAATTAGTTATTTTCTTATTGTGAAATCATAAGAATTAATGTACAATAGATAATAAGTAACTAGTATAATGATAACTGTGCAAAACAACATGTGCTTTTTACCGTCGAATTGTCAAAAATGATAATCAGTTTAATTATATTTATAAAATTATATATATCTAACACAAATATTATTGACAACTCTTGTTAAATTGTGTTTTAGTTTTTACATTTAATTGAATAAATTTGAATTAGTATGAGTTGTATGATTGTTTATAAATATATTTTTAAATATCATACAAAATATTACAAGAATAACATAATAAATTATTTTTATTTATATTTTTTATTGTTTCTTCTAGCTAATAATATTTGATCATTGGAATCATTCTATCATCCTATGAATTGTAATTAATAATGTTTTATTACATTCAAATTTGATATTCACTTATATTTTGTTAATTTCGACATGATAATAAAATTAAATAAATTTTACACTTTATTGGAGTGCAGATATAAGTTTTAGAAGTTTGTCCATATTCATTCTATGTTTATACTTTATCGCTGCATATTTTTTTCTACTATTGCAAAATAAAGATTTATTAATTTTGGTAAAATAATCTAAATTTTTTTATTTTATTTTATACCAGAATATATAGTTTTATTTGTATTTTTGATTTGGTTTGATAAATAAATTTAATTTTTGTTATAAAGATAGATGAAATTATTTTTAAATATGTATATGTGACATGGATGTCCAATTAAAGATGGTAAAAAAATGATTAATTTGATAAATCATGTATGAAATATTATATACAAATAAAAAATGTACTAACTCTTAAAATATTGCAAAAAACAAATATTAAATTCACTAAATGATAACTAATAATATCAGTTATGTATGGTAAGATTTGATTTGAGAAAGATATAAATGAGACAAAAATAAATGCATACTGCCAAAATTGCAATAAATTATCTATATATATATATATATATATATAATTGTAGGCTATCTCATTTATTGGATAGCCTACATTTTCCCGCCCATAAATTTTCAGCTATATAAGGCAGTTGTTTTCACTTAATCAGGTAACCGGTAAGACCGGTTACTAAAAAAAGAGTTCCAAAATCCACGACTTAAATAATCTGAACACTCCATGATTCAAGCTCATTTCTCTCTTGTTATCGGCAGATCACGCGTTTTTTTTTCTCTTAAAAAAAACCAAATCTCATTTTTCTTATTAATTTTTGCCGATAATCATGCTTTTTTATTTGTTCTTCCGATGAGATATTTCGATCAAGTTCTGTTTTTTTTTTTAAATAGAATGTTTCAAATAAAATAGAGATATTACATCAAAATCATTCTGATTTTATAATTTCATTTTACTAAATCATTGTAAAACGACGCAAATCGGTTGATTACATAACATATCTATCAGGATTTGAATTTTTTTTTGTTTTGATTTATGGTTGTCGTCCCTATTTTGTTAAAATACTTCAATGAATCACAAGAAAATAGTTCAATAGCGCGATTATAGTATGGACCTATCAAGATCTGTAATGTTTGTTAAGAATATAAGATTTTTTTTTTTCTTTTGTAAAACCGTGTTTTTAGTTGATTTCAGAAGTAGATTAGATATAAGTCTTATTTTAGTGTTTGTTTTGTCGTTTTATTTAAACTTACATATTTACACAATTTGATGTTTTTTGCTCAAAGAACATAGATTTGTTTTTGCAAAAAAATGAACGGATCTTATAATATTTGGAGATGTTCTTCTGGTTTCCTGAATAATATGCACGTTGTTCAGTTGCAACAGGCGATTTGCACATAAATATGAGTCATATGTCAGGTTATCAAATAAAAAAAAAAAATCTGTAAGGACACCTCATTTCCTCCTCTGAAAATGTAACTGCTTTAGGCGGTAATTGAAAGTATTAAAATTAAATGCTCAAATTTCAGGGGGGATAATATATTTAAATGCAGGATAATAAAATTAAATGCTTTGTTGCCTGAATTATATATATATATATGGGTTGGTTCAAATAAAAACTAGTTTGGTGTGAGAACTGTGAGAACCGTATTTAATGCTATTTTTAATTGTGTATGATGTTATTTTTCATATTAGATGATGCTATCATTCTTACAAATGCTAACAGAAATTGTGTTGCTATTTTTAATAAAATTCATCCTGATTAAAAAATAGCACCAAACACAATCAATCATAGCACTACGCACAATTAAAAATAGCGGTTCTCACACTAAGACTTGGCTCTCATTTGAACCAAATCCTATATATATATATATGGGACGGATCCAATAAGACCACTCCTTAAAATGAGTACGTGAGACGCAATCTTAACCACTCATTTTGTATAGATCAAAATCAATTAAAAATATACATTAATTAAATAATAAAATAATTATTAGTTGACTCTGGCGTTGACCGTTGACTTCCGGCGAAAATCGTTGCCTCCGGCGTTGGCCGTTGACAACTAACCTAGCAGCAAGAAATAAGTATCCTAGCAATAAAAGACAACTAACCTAGCAGCAAGAAAGAAATAACCTAGCAATAAAATACAACTAACCTAGCAGCATCAGACAACTAACCTAGCAGTAAGAAAGAAATAACCTAGCAATAAAAGACAACTAACCTAGCAGCAAGAAAGAAATAACCTAACAATAAAATACAACTAACCTAGCAACATCAGAAAACTAACCTAGCAGCAAGAAAGAAATAACCTAGCAACAAAATACAACTAACTTAGCAGCATCAGACAACTAACCTAGCAACAAAACACAACTAACCTAGCAACAACAGACAACTAACCTAGCAACAAAAGACAACTAACCTAGCAGCAAGAAAGAAATAACCTAGCAACAAAAGA